TAAGTAATCACTACTAAGGGCATTTCAAGTTACTGTAACACCAGATACACATGTTACTTCTATTCCTGCAGTCTTTGTTACATCACGTCTAAAACGAGACTGAAGCTCTTCAGGGCATCCACCAATCTCATGTTTCTGAAATAATAGAATCATAGAATCATAGAATGTTTTGGGTCGGAAGGGACCCCTAGAGGTCATCTAGTCCAGCCCCCCTTCAGCGAGCAGGGACACCACTAACTAGATGAGGTTGCTCAGAGCCCTGTCCAACCTGGTCTTGAATGTTTCCACGGATGGGGCCTGCACTACCTCTCTGGGCAACCCGTTCCAGTATTTCACCACCCTCATTGTAAAGAATTTCTTCCTTATATCCAGCCTAAACCTACCCTGTTTTAGTTTAAAACCATTACCCCTCATCCTGTCACTGCTGTCTCTGCTAAAAAGATTGTCCCCATCTTTCCTATAGGCTCCCTTTAAGTACTGAAAGGCTGCAATCAGGTCTCCCCGCAGCCTTCTCTTCTCCAGGCTGAACAAGCCCAACTCTCTCAGCCTGCCCTCATAGGGTAGGGGGGCAGAATCACCTCTGGGGACCTGCTGGCCACGCTTCTCTTGATACAGCCCAGGACACGGTTGGCCCTCTGGGCTGCCAGCGCACATTGCCTGCTCATGTCCAGCCTTTCGTCTATCAGTACCCCCAAGTCCCTCTCAGCAGAGCTGCTCTCGATCCTTTCATCTCCCAGCCTGTATTGATAGCGGGGATTACCCCGACCCAGGTGTAGGACCTTGCACTTGGCCTTGTTGAACCTCATGAGGTTCACACAGGCCCACCTCTCCAGCTTGTCCAGGTCCCTCTGGACGGCATCCCGTCCTTCTGGTGTCTCAACCGTACCACTCAGCTTGGTGTCATCTGCAAACTTGCTGAGGGTACATTCGATGTCGCTGTCCATGTCATTGATAAATATATTGAACAGCACTGGTCCCAGTACGGACCCCTGAGGGACTCCACTCGTACTTAGTACACTTCAGAGAACTAAAGTTAAAAAGATTGCTTTTCTTTTCAGGCATGTCCCAATTTAACTTTCTAAAATGTCTCCTTGTTTACCGAGAACCTAAGGTAGAGTAAGCACTGTGTGCTTACAAATCACTGTATCAGACACGCTAAAGGAACATGTTACATGTTTCGTAAGTGAGACCAATTTGGTATAAGCTGTTTATCTAATATCAAATTCTAAAATAATCTGTTCACGTAGGCTGACATGATTTATAGAAGAGTATGACCTGGGAATGAGTAGAGCACCAAAAAAATTACTACTTGCTAGCCATAACAAATGCTTTTATGTTGCCTTGAAATTAAATGGTTTACCATGCTAATCTTATGTTGCTGATACATTAATAATCTGAATAATATATCATTTTGGTTGTAGGAGCTCTTTTCACCAGCCTTGTAGTTTGAGACAGATTGCAGAGACAGTGGAACTAGTAGTCCGCTAGTGATTTGCAAAACAGGAGGTTTTGAAACTAAGTAATTTGTCGATGCCACCTGTGTGTGGATGCCATAGTGATGTTGCAACTTTGAAATCCATTATCAGTGATCTTTTCATTACCATAAAAATGGAGGGCTGGTTACTTTCTGGATACATTACAGAAAGTCTTCTCAGAAGTGTATGACTAGTGCTAATGCACAGCAGGCAGGGAAGCAACTCCGATTACTGATGTTAATTTCTTGGGCTTTTTTTAACTTGTGGTCTCACTTGAGGTATTAATGAGCTGTGCAGATGCCACAAGCATGCTTTGCTTCCTTTCACTCCTCTTGGAGATTTTCACTGTATTCCTTATCATAGGGAAAGGAACTGTCTGGTATCTAGCTAAGCTTTGGCTGACTGACTGTTAGGAATGCATAACATTTCTCAGACTGCCAGACTCTTTTATGAAAGCACTGTAAAAGTTGAAATGAATTTTCAGATCCTAGTTTCATCTGTGGAATTACAAAACACTCTGTGGTATTTAAATGCTTTTTTGGTGTTATCAAAAGGCCTCTTTGAGCACAGCCTCAAGCTCAAGGATGTCAGTGCTTCCATTTTCTAAAACTATTCATGTCTCTAATAATAAAGAAGAACGCGTATTGTAATTCTCTGTTAAAGGAAAAAAAGTGTAAAATGGGTGGCAAGCATCTATGTTTAACTGAAAACTTTTGAAATTAGTCCACTGGTTTGCGGTGGTGGTGGGGAGCCAAATCTTGGAACTGAAATATCAGGTACTTGGTAAAATTTGGCTGCCAGAATTGTAGGTGTGGCATCAAGATGTGAAGCATGGCGTGGCAGTAGGCCTCAGTGAACTGGATCCGTCTTTAAGTGTTGCAGAAGTGGAATGATTAGATTCTGCTGTAATATGAACAGCTGTATGGAAATGTCCTACTAGCTAAGTTAGCAATGTTTACAGCTCTTCTAGACTTAACTGAAAAATAATCTATAATTTCATGTATTTGCAGTTTCCTCTACAAGCTCATTACTATCTATTTTTTCTGTTCTGTGGAAACAAATGTAATTCACAAATAAATTTCTGTAAATTAATTTCATGTTGTCACTGAAGTATTTCAGTGAATTAAGACAGCAGAATTCCATGGGTGGTACTTGCTTAATATGCTTGTCAGCTGGGCACTTAACTGCATGCCAACTGTAGTCAGAGAGCAAGAGTGTACCTGTTATATTTTTTTTTGTATTTGTTGAAAAGGGAGAGAGGACTTTGCAGCCTTATTTCATAGTGCTGTAGACCTTCAGCTGCTATGGCTAACAAAGTCCAACCATCTTTCTTTGTCTGTTGTTCTAGAGTGACTAATAATCGTATCTTGCCAATGTGTTCTCTTAAATTGTATTTCTGAAGGATCTAGCTGCTATCACTTCAGTGTGAAAATATGAAATGTTTTCCAGTTGTATGGGCAAAAAGAATTATTTGGCACCATTAGCAGCTGACAACTTAATATAAGACTGTGTTGTGCTGTTTATATGAAAACCAAAATGTATAGCAGTAAGTAGACAGAGAATAGAAATACCAAACTTTTGACTAACAAGAATCATCCTGTAGTGCACTGGGGTTTTTAAAGCCAAATACAGTAGGGTTTACAAACTTCCAGTGTTAAGACTGGTGTAGTGCGAAGAGCACCATCCATTATTGTAAGCTTGTGTCATAGCATGACTGAGCACTTAGCTTTGGTGCTGTATTTCTGTGAAGATGCATCTCTTTAATCTTTTCTCTGAGTTTCAGGTTTCAACTTACTGCATGTTCAAGTAGCAATGGCAAAACGTCTCTCATCTGTAACTAAGCTCCTAAGCGGCATAACTGTAGAGTTATTGAGTATTAAAATACATTTAAAAACACACACACACAAAACGAGGAAGGTCCAGACTTACCCTGTTATTTAATCATTTAAAGAGAGTATCAAGTACGAATTACTTACAGTGCTTTAGATGCAACTGATATGGTTCTTTTTAGATCCGTTGGTTGTGATCTGATCAGAGAGTGTGAACATCAGCATCAGGTGGATTCACAATTTGATGTCAAGTTTGTTTTATTCTTAGGATACAACCAGCTTCATGTGATCAGCTTAATTTTCCTTTTTTGAAAGAAATAGAGTAGGGTAACTTTTGTATAAGAACAAAGCTGTTACTGTAACCTTTTTCTTCGGTAAACTTGAGTAAGAACAGTACTAGCTTACTTGCTCATTCTCTTTCACTTCTGAGAAATGAAATTTAGTATTCCTTTTTAATAATTCTTCTGTGTAATGGTCACAGTGGTGACCATTTACCATACCATTGTTTCCTGCTGATATGTCTGAGCATCTTTAGAGCACCTGTGCAGGTTTGTCCTTGAGAAAGTTTTTATCTCTAAATTCCAGACTATCGCTTGAAATTTCTGTAGTTTCTTATGTTCTTCTGTAATAGTAGTTAACAAGCAATGCATTTGTAGACCATCTAAGCAGACATTTAAGTTATGCTTACAGTTGTCAAACTGTTAAGAATTCCTTTCAGGCAGCTCTTTCAAGTATGTATTATTTCACTACACCTCTCTATCGTAGTACATCAACATGGCTAGATGTCTGTTTTCTGTGAAATTTATAATCACTGATGAAATAACATCACTTTCCATCTTCTCCTAATTCACTAAACTTTGCATGGAAAATTTGCAATTAGCCAAATATTCCTATGACAAAAATTGAACTTTTACACTAGATAAATAATTTGTACATTGAAGTTGCGTCATGGGGATATACACACTGGTTATGGCCACAGGGGGGGCCACAGGGGGCACCGGAAGGCTTAAGTGTGTTTCTCATTTCTGCCTCCCCACAACACGTCGCTTGTGTTGTGCTGTAAGGATAGGTGAGCCTAATGTTTGGAAACAGTACCAGCCACAACGCTGGCTCACCTTCTTGTGGAGAAAACTGCTTGTTGAATCTCCAGTGGCTTGGGAACAAAATGATACTACTTGTAAAATAAGAAATAAGGCTTCTTACCCCAAAATGGAGCCTGCGTATGCATAATATCTACTTGCTTTCTTTCTCAGATCGTATATTTGTCAGGCTCCAAGGATGGCATCCGAAACAGTTCTCGAGCACCACACTATTTCCATATCGTTTTGGGTTTTTATTTTTCTTTTTTCGACTCAGATCATGAAGGCCAACTTCTTTTAAAGCCTTCTACTTGTTTTTTCCATAAAATATAATCTCTGAGGAACTAATGGTATTAGCGTAAAATAACTGTTGTTTTATAGATTATTCTTTCCTTTTGTGGTTCTTGTTCAAATACTTAGGATACTACAACTTCATAAAAATAGAAAGAATTAATACCGAGTTTTGGTGGTCTGGGTTTTTTTATTTTATACTAACAGATATACAGGTATGAATTACTGTTTGGTCAAACACTGTTTTCATTCTGATTTCTGTGCTACTTTCCTAGGAAACCTAATAAGTAAAAGGAAGCCACCTCAGTGGAATTTCAGATGTGGCAATGGCATCTACTGTAACCAGTTCAGTTCCTACCACTGCATCTCGTTTCGCTTTATTACAAGTCGAAAGCGATACCGATTCAGAGCATGGAAAAGCAAAAAGTGGCCAAGGTGCCAATAAGTCTCAGGGTCCAGGGGGAAGATTGTCTACAAATGAGAAAAAAAGAAAGAAAAGGAGAGAAAAGAAAGAACAGCAGCAGAGTGAGACCAATGAGGTAAAATGATTACATTTTCATTAGTGGGTAAGGTTGTTAGATCTGATAAATAATTTTATTAAGTAGGACATAAAAGTAGGATACTCCTACTAAACAAGTTGAAAAGTTTTAATGAGAATAAATTGCTAGGTTTTACTTTGATAGCGCCACTTGAATAATTAATTTCTGATTAAGGGAATGACCTTTCTAAAAAGTGATTGCTAGGAAACAGCTTGTTTTCAGAGGTTTGCAGGTAGTCAGTTCTAGTTGCCTGCTTGGACAGCCAGCATGCTAAAATTCAAAGGTGCTTTTGAAATATTTTTTGTTTTTAGGAGATAGCTAGATTACCTACTCTGTCCGAAGAGCTTTAAAATCTAGTTTCCTAAATTGTAATTTTTCCTTTATCTATTAAATCCAGAGCTCTTTTTTTTTGTGAATTGGTGGGCAGAGTGAAGAATGGTGATTTTCTGACACTGGAATTCTTAAGCTTCAGGTGAAATGGAAATTGAAAAGTGAGGCTGAAGGAATTGTTCTGGGATTCTGGGAAGCAGAATTCTAGATTGCTGTGTCTGACAACTGATCTGAGATAATATTTCTGCCTGAAACTGTACATATCTCTTATCAAATTTAGTATGTAAACCAAACAAAACCCCCAAACCTATCATTTTTTCTTTTAGTATCTATTAAACTTAAAAACTTTGAAATTTTAGTAGTTACAGTAATGTTAAGTGATGTTTTTTTCAGCTTTGATGCTGTTCTTCTGATATTGAAGATTAACTTTTCAATAAGCATACCCTGATCTTTCTTTGACTGCCCTAACACCATCAAAACTTTTAACACCACCAGAATAATTGTGTGTATGCATATGCATGGCATATATCTACAGAAAGTCATTTACATGGAATTTATATTTATTCCTGTAATGGCAGAGAGGCAAATAAGGGCTGACTCATTTTCTTTGCCCCAGCATGTACTATGACTATGGCTACACTCCACGGAAATTACACATCAGAATGGTCTGCCCCAGTGTTCTTGCCAGCACTGTAAACTGAAGAAGGAAGCAGGGGTTGTAGTGCTGGTGCAGGCAGCAAGACAGACAGTAGCAAAGCACAAGGCAGTATGGCAAGGGATTGTTCGGAGGGGAAGGAAAACAGTTCTGAAGTATCTGCATGGTTGCCTGATTTTAAGAAACTAAGGAGAGCTGCCATGTTAAGAGGAGTCATGACACTTTGATAAACATTTATTAAAGAGAACAATAGTGCTTTACTTTTTTTGTGTTAGTTTCATCTTTCATCTGGAGATAGCTTCTTTCTCGCTTCCCAAAGTTTTTAAGGAAATACCTGTTTCTAAATGGATAGTAGATTGTATTGGTGCCTTTATTTTCACTCCAAGTAAGAACGAGAGTGTCAGTTAAAGTTTAAGCTTGAGCAGTGAATGTCTTTGAGATGCCAAATTTGCAGGTTACTTGTTCTGTCAAATTTTGTAATTAGGTAAGGTATTTTTAAGATGGCAGTGTTGTATCCATATGGTGCAGCGATTAAAAGTAATTCTTATTGCAGGTTCTTAAAGTATGACCAACTTTATATTGCTGACAAACTGTAAAGACTGTCAACGTTGTTCTTTTTCTGCCTGAATCTCTAATTCCTCTGTTTGCCGATGCCAAATCTGTGTATACCACCTTTCCTCTGGCATTACATTTAATTTGGGTCAGGTGTGAGCACAAGGCAATACCTGATGCAGCATGGAATCTGTTGGAGACAGTTATCTCTTCAGATTTGTTGGAAGTATTCTCAGCTGGCAAAATATATTTATTTTTTCATTATTTTACAGAGTCACAGAATCACAGAATAGTAGGGGTTGGAAGGGACCTCTGTGGGTCATCTAGTCCAACCCTCCTGCCGAAGCAGGGTCACCTACAGCAAGCTGCACAGGACCTTGTCCAGGCAGGTCTTGAATATCTCCAGAGAAGGAGACTCCACAACCTCCCTGGGCAGCCTGTTCCAGTGCTCCGTCACCCTCAGAGGGAAGAAGTTCTTCCTCATGTTCAGACGGAACTTC